AGATGGTTCAAAACTGATTATGAGCTTAGAACAATGAATGGCAAGCCTCTAAAAAGCATTCGACAGATGGTACCATTTATGAATAGCACCATGGAACCCGAGACCTCCCTTCATAGTAAAACATATGGCCCATATGTTCACCATGGTATGACTCTATTCTGCTTTGGAAAACAAACAGCACTAGCAAGTTGACTTGAGACAGCCTTCTCCAGCTTGATACGTTTGAGCATGCCTTTGCCCTGAGGTGAACTGGGTATCTTTGAGCTCCCAGTATCTCAAGGAATGGAAGAATAAAGAGCAATGCACTTCCGAGGTAAAGAGTATGCTAATGATGACCCTGGGTTGACCACTGCACCATGTACCCACACACTGACCCATCACATCACACCCTAAAACCTTGCAAATTATGTTAATTAAAATGCATGATAATTTACTTGAAAGAGATGACGATCATTTGATATAGCCTCTGGTGTTCTTTCTGAGAGGTTAAGCTGGATGCTTTGGATGGCCAAGTCCTATGGCCAGAGATTACTAGAAATTCTTTCCATCTACAGGTATACCCTTTGCTCCCAGACAGCTCTCAGAAAAGCTTCTCCCACCTCTTTTGTGCTACCTGCATGACCTTTACCCTGGTCTCCACCATCCTGGCTCTGGTGCCAATTCCCCTGCCCCCTTATCCTCTGCTTCCTCATGACACGTAGTCATTTGTATTTTAAAATAGTTCTTAAACTACAGACAAAGAGAACGCACACCTTTCTGAAGCTCACACAAACAAGGGAAGAAAGTCAGTAATCATAAAGGCAAGCCACACAGAGGAGCCACAGTCTGTGGCTTGCCTTGCCTGTGGGCTGCCCTGGATGCTTGCCTGCTACTCTTGCTGAGGCATGGGTTACATCCACTGCTCACATGGTATACCTTAGTGCTATTAATTCATCGTTGCTAAAATATTTCTGTAACAGATATGGGTAAAGACCTCAAGACTACTCTTGGTTCTTTCTGCTAAAAGAAATCACTGCTATTGTCTAGTTGGGCCTTTCCAGAACCTTCTTCAATGTACACGGATAGGGCCACGTCTAAAATTCTATCTTATGGAGAGCTAGGGATTTATCTTTCTTTAAAAAATATACGTGGAGGAAGGAAAGGAAGGGGAAAATGATATAATTGCATTAGAATCTGAAATAATTAAAGAAATAATGTACACACACACACACACACACACACACACACACACACACACACACCCTCATGCGTCCTCATTAACTTGCCTATTTCATTTAACAGACCTATCTGCCCTAGTAGCCTGAGTGGCCTTATCAACTTCTTAATTGCCTCAGAAAAGAAGGCAGTGTCTCTGCCCCTCAATGAACCATTAATAACTTCCCAAATAGAGTTGCACTCAGCATTCATACACATGCCTTTTGGGGAATATGCATCAATAGTCCTTCTTGATGGAAAGTAAGAAGGGCAGTTGTTTGATCCCGGATCACAGGCTTTCACACTTCAGCGAACCCATAAACAATGCAGCATAGCAACTACTTTTATGTCATTAGGTCTTACAAGTAATCTATGGATGGCTTAAAGTGCATATGAGGTCCTATGAAAACACTATGCTGGCTGCTTTGGATAAGGAACCTAAGCGTCCAATGGTCCACAGATATCAACAGATGATTATAGTCCCCGTAATCCCAACACACAGCATATTCCAATTCAAGGTACTCACTTGGAAGCCTGGATCCATTCATCATAGAGTTCAAAGGTCATAAGAGGCTCTGGCAACTCCCGAAGATAAGACTTCAAAGCCCCTGGGCATAAATACAGTAAGCTGTCACAACAGAGCTGGACAAATGGCATCAACCTGCACTGTCCACATGGACATGACTCCTTGACCAGCACAAGATCAAACAGTGGCTTCCCATGTGAACACTTGCCAGACTTGGAGAGTACCTGGGTTGAAAATTACAACCCCCGCCCCTTATTTTTACATTACCTCACCTTCAGCTGTACTCTCAAGGTAGTCTGCCTTCACTGATCAGAACTATCAGGCCTGAAAGGGCCCTAGGTGGTCATCTGAGGCCATTGTTCCTGACAATGGAGTCACACACTGTCCATGTTCACCCCTTTCCCATGAACCCACCTGCAATGGCGTGGGGGTCTGCCGAGTACTCCTGCACATCCACCACACAGCAGTCCAGAGCAGCTTTCAGCTTCTTCAGCTTGGAGGCTGAGGGGGCTACCCGGAAGAGGCCCTGCCAACAGGATGGAAGGGTTAGAGTGTGGCCAGCAACTCAGAGGAACAGGAGAAAAACACAGAGATGAAAAGTCTGCTGGCTCTTCCCTCTGGACCACCCTCCTCCAGCATCCCAAGCAATGCCATACCCTGATGTTGCAGCTGCCTACTTTCTAGGCATCTCCTCCAGACTCAAGCTGTTCTCAGGGGAGCAGCTCATTGCCTGGTGGCTCACTGCACTGATTTCCTATGTTTATTGGTATCTGAGCCTTGGACTCTCAGGTGTCTGATTCTTTTACACTCCAAGTAAATCTTGGAGAATCTACCTGAGAGCTGCCAGACATGAAGGTCTAATAATAACTGGATAAACATATGTCTGTGGCAATGGTTCTCAACCTTCCTAATGCTGTGACCCTTTAATATAGTTGTGGCAATCCCCAACCATAAAATTTTCATTGCTACTTCATAACTGTAATTTTGCTACTGTTATGAATTGTAATGTAAATCTCTGTGTTTTCTGATGGTCTTAGGCAACCCCTGTGGGAGGGTCCTATGACCCCAAGAGGAGTCGCAACCCACAGATTGAGAACCGCTGGTCTACAGGATGTGTGTATATACACATGCATGTGTGTTCCATTAGGAATGCCATCCTGTCTCCTGCTTGAGGATCAAGATGTGAGCTCTCAGCTGTTCCTGCTGCCATACCTTTGCTCCACCATCATGAACTCTAACCCTCTGAAACCATAAGCCCTAAATTAAATGCTTTCTTTTATGTAAAATGCCTTGGATATGGTGTTTTGTCACAGCACTAAAAAAGTAACTAAGACAGAGACAGAAGTAACACCATAAGAAGAGGACAGAGTGAGCAGTGGCACTCACGTGGGCAGAAGAGGACAGAGTGAGCAGTGGCACTCACGTGGGCAGAAGAGGACAGAGTGAGCAG